GACTTTTATGATGGCAGGTGTTTTGAAGCCTCTGGCCAAAACTGAGGTGGAAAGTGCAGTAGAATGGGCATCAGAGAGTCTGATTCCCCACCCACTTTGGCCCCAAGCCACTGAATGGTCCTGACCCAGTCCTTCCTCTCTCTGAGCTTCAGTGGGCGTAGCTCTAAAGTGGAGGTAATGAGATGAGGGCAGTCCCCTTTCTAAAGTGCCCTGGTGGCAGAGTGGTTAGTCATTGGGCTGCTAACTAAAAGGTTAGCATTTCAAAACCACCAGTCACTACATGGGAGAAAGACAGGGTTCCAGTCATGGAAACTCCCAGGGGCAGTTCTTCCCGCCCTAGAGGGTCACATCGAGTTGGCATCAACTCGATGGCAGTCAGTAGGGTTTGGGTTTCAGTCCGTGCCTTCCCTGCACAATAGGTAAGTAGTTAAGGTCAGGCAAACCCAGGTTTCAATTTCGACTTCATTTACTACCTACAGGGCCTTTTGTTTAAGTCCTTTAGCTCTCAGAACCCTCATTTCCTCCTATTTAGAAGCAGGATAGTAGAGGGCTGTGTGAGCGTCCTTCGCAGAGGGCTGTGTGAGCGTCCAGTGAGCGGGCGCATGTAGTCGTGCGGACGGGGTCTGACTCAGAGTACACGTGCAAGGAAAGGAAGCTAGTCCTATTCAAAGGCTGTCACTTTGAGTCAAAGGAGATGATGGATGTGAAGCTTTAAAGTGGAACACCAATGGGGAGGCGATGACACTCTTGAATCCACTCCAGGGCCTGGAGTCTTCTACCCTCCGAAGAGGTGGCCTGAGGGAATGAACTGCTGTTCATTTGTGACATTTGTGTTCATTGTGTCATTTGTGACTCTTTGGGGGCTTGAGTTCCTTTGTTTCTTCCTGACTTCCTGTTGAGGGTGGACTTTCAGGAGCCCTAGGAAGAGTTCGTTCAGTAACCACCAGAATCTGGGGGAAGGTTTGGCATGACAGGTGTGAGTAAGCCTTAATTTAGCTCCACGGCTTCTCTAGGACTTTACTGGCAACAGTGGCCACTGGAAGTAGGAGATGGCTCTGTGAGAATCCCGGCGCTGTGGCCCACGCGCTGACCCTTCCTTCTTGAGTCTAGCCCCAAGGGCTCCCAGAACTGGTATTTGGTAGCATTGGCATGAACGTTGAAAAGAAAAGCTGCCAAGGAGAGCCCTGGTGGCACAACGGGTAAGCGTTGGGCTGCCAACCAAAAGGTCGGTAGTTCAAACCCACCAGCTACTGTCTGGGAGGAAGATGAAGCTGTGTGCTCCAGTAAAGATTTACAAAGTCACTATGCGTTGGAATTGATCCGGTGTCAGCAGGGTGGAGAATAGCTGTGAGTGCCTGTGACAGGCTGGGCTATGTGCTTAGGGCTTTATATTCATTCACATTTAAACTTAACAACCATGGGGAGGAACTAGTATCACATTTGCATAGGTGAGAAAATGGAGATGTAAAAAAGCAATTTGCTTAGGGTCATGTAGGTACATTTGGAGCCTGGTCTATCCAGTCTTAATGATGTGGGCTCTTTTAATTGTTCTATGTGGACTTTATGTGGTTATACATTAGAGTCACCTCTGGAGGTCACTGAACTTTCTGCTTTTCTGACTCTGAATCTTTAAGTGTGCGGTAGCGCCTGATCCTACACCTGCGTTTTCTTTTCCCCCCCAGGTTTACTGAAGCATAATTTACATAAAGTAAAATTCACTCCTTTCTAGTAGCTTTATGCAGTCATGTAAGTACCACCATAATCAAGATATGGAAGAGTCCCATAACCCTAAACAGTTTTCTCATACCATTTGGGTCCGTAACACCTGCGATTTTAACCTGCTGGACTGATGATGGTAATGCCAAATCAGGTGTGGGACCACTGTGCTGAAAATGTGAGGGACAGAAGTTCTTTAGGAGGAAGAGCGGAGAAGGAGGAAGAGGAGGACAAAAATAGCGAAAAGAGGGAAAATGACATTTAAATGGGAAAACAGTTGCTTTAGCTGTCTTCAGGAGCCCTGGTGTCATAGTGGTTACGTGTTAGGCTGTGATCTTCATGGTCAGCAGTTTGAAACCACCAGCAGCTTCGTGGAAGAACAACTGGGTTTACTACTCCTGTAAATAGTTATTGTCTCGAAAACCCACCGGAGGTCGCTATGAGTCAGCATTGACTGGATGGTGGCGAGTTTGGTTTGGGGTTGGTAGCTGTTCTCAGCAAAACGGCTGCCCTGGCTCCTTGTGTAGAGATGGAGGGCGGGAAAGAGAATGTTCTAGGCGAAACGCAGCTTAACAAAAACAACAAAGTTTTCTCTCTCCACAGTCTCTTCCCAGAGCTACAGTGTTCCTAACAACGTGGGTGAGTGGCTGGGAAAATGGCAGTGGAATGGAGGCTGGGGCCACTTGGTAGGCGTTGGGAGAAGCCTTGGATGTGGAAAGGAGGGTGGTCTCTGCTGTTGGTCAATCAATCCAGAAGGGGGCCTCCCTCCGACCCCACCCCCAGGTAGACCATTTTGGTTCCGTTGAATCTCTTCTTCTGGAAGAATTCAGTAACACCAATTGTTGATCTGAATTCCGGTCAGGAAAATTAGCCTGGACCCACATTCAGACGGGGGCCTAGAAAGCATATGGATCATAAAGCAGAACATGTCAAAACGTTCTCTCTGAATCTGGAGATGAAGGCTAAGAACTTGGCCCTCCGAGTCTGGAGATTTTGATTCTTGGCTCAGCTCTGACCTCGGTTTTGCGAGGTGACCGTTCTTGTCTGGCCCCTCTCTGAGTGTTACCTGTTCGCCTACCTCTCACCGGCTGGAGGGAGGAGTAAATACAGGGTAAGGAAGGGGAAAGTGCTCCACTTCCCCTCTGGGGACATTGGCTATCGTGGCCAAAGGAATTCTGTAGGCTCCTTCCCATGGCTCTCAATAGTTGAATATGGAAACGTGGATACATAAGACTCTGTCTTTTAGATAAGGACTGGGGTTATGGCCAGTCCTTAACTGCTTCCTTCTCTGATCTTTCTTTCTCTAGTTTGTTCAATGCTGCATTTCCCCCCTTTCCTGTCATGTGGTAAAACAAGCATATGCGAAGGAGGACTCCTGCTTATGTCCCTTGGATGAATCACCCAGTTTTCTTCCTGGTGTGTGTCTGCCCTCTGACACAGGTTCTGCCATGTTGCTTCCTGATTTGTGAAGTGCAGCTTCTCCTGGTCCCTGTGATTCGTCTCGAGGAGGAAATATCTGTAGCAGATACTTTGATAGAGGCGGAAGGGCCAGAGCGGGAAAAGATAGGAGGGCTGTTGTTGTGAAGGGAAGAAGTGGTGAATAAAATCACTGGGGTCTCTCGTCCCTTGAGGAAGAGTGACTTTGAGTAATGCCCTCAGCCACAAGGACGCCGGGGTGTGAGGGGAGTTCATCTTTGACTTTTGAAAGTTGTATGAAGTTTAAATTGCCCTTAGTTCTATCTCAATATCTGTTCTCCCTTGGGTCCCTTCCACCTTTTTCTGAACCACTGGCTTCAGGGCGTTGGAACAGCAAAGAAAATTAACAGGTCAACGTTATGACAGTAATAGATTCCCTGAGTGTCTCAGACTTTGACATACACCAGGTTATCGTCCCTAAAGCCCTACCAAACATTATAGGCTCCAGTAAAATTTCAGCGTAAACATTCTTACTGATTACAGTAATGAGGAGCATGGAATATTGAGAAAACATTTTTAGAATCGGAATTATGAGGCTGGATGGGACTGTGTAGACGGACCCTATCTTACAGATGAAGGGCTGGCACCAGAGAGGGGGCAGGGAGTGGGGTGGGGCTTGCGGGAAGACTTGCTGAAAGTCACTCAGCTGAAGACCAGCAGTATGGGAGACCGCTGAAGCATCCCAGAGCAGAGACACCCCTCTGCTTTTCTGAGGCATGCCGCGGGCTTCGGAACCAGTTTTCATGGCTGATTTAAGCCATCACCAGGAGCCGATTGCCCCAGTCGCCCCTGAGCATCTTGGATGTGACTAGGAGACACAGGCTTGCCCTGCCTTCCACAGGGTTATTTGTTCCTTTGGGCAACAGGGCAACAGAGTAGGTGTGAGGTGAGGCCATTCTGAAGGTGATTGGTGATTATTGGCACGATCAGGGGAAAGTTTAATTAGGAGAAGGGATGCGACTGGCCTCCAGGCGAAGACTAGGGAAGGCATCGGGGGCTGGAGTGTAAACGAGCTCGAGTTGAGGGAGAATACAGGGTTTGTGAGAGGCCTTCAGCCGCAGCTGGACGTTCGGTGGGAGGGAGGCTCAGTGGTTGGAGCCACAGCTTCAGTTGCAATTTTCATGCAGCAGACTGGAGAAAAGGTATTTTAGGGTTCCACGGTGCGCTCTGAAACTTGTGGGCTTTTGAGCGGGGCCCAGGGAAGGAAATACGTGCGTGCAGCATCCACTGTGATGGCTTTACCGCACCGGTCTTGGGTCGCTTGTGGTCCAAAACGGTGTGGGTCCGTTTCACACATTTCTCCCCGTGTCTACTGCCCCCCACCCCTCCGTGCTCTCAGTTCTAGCAGGCTCTTCTCTCCAACTTCCCTCCCTCCCTCCATGTGGCAGCCTCTCGGAGCTACCGTAGATTTGGGGGAGGAGGCACCGGAACACGACCTGTGCCCTCGCGTGGATTTCCCCAGGTGCATCCACTCGGCTGCCCGCCATCTGACCCGCCTGACCGCCTCGTCGCCCGCGGGCCGGGGGAGGGGGCGAGGGGGCGAGGGCCGGCGCCTGGGCCGCTGGGCGGGGGAGGCGGGCAGCGGCCGGGCGGGTCAGCCGGCTGGGCTGGGGATGCCCGGGCAGATGCGGAGGCAGGCGGCAAGGTGGCAGCGCCCTGGGTTAGCCGGCGCCGCCGCGGTTCCTAGGAGACGAGGAGCAGCCGGCCTGCGGGGGAGGGGAGCCAGTGGGCTGCTGCTTTTAGCCGCTGAAAGGGCTGCAGGGAGCTCTGGGTAAGACGTGCGCTGCTGCTGCCGCTGCGGTAGAAGCTGCCGCGCCAGGAGGTCCGCGGGAGGAGGACCCAGAGGGAGGCGGCTTCCACTGCAGCCATTGCTGAATCACGGCTGCTGAGCCGATCCCCGCCGGGGGGCTGGGCGAAGCGGAGGACTGGGGAGCGGGGCTGCGATCCCCGGGCGCAGGCGGCGTTCCGCGGCGGCCAGCCCGGCCGGGCCTCGCACAATGGACGGTGAAAGGTAGGGGTGTGTGGACGCGGGCGTGGCAGCGTGTGCTCGTGGGGCAGCCTGCGGTTTTTGTGTTTGCCTTCGCCGCCGGGCAGGGGTGGGAGCCCCGGGCCCGCAGAGTCAGCTCAGGGGAGCCCCTTTCCAGGCGCCCCCGGCCACCCGCTCGAGCCTCCCGAGAGCCCCGGCAGGACTGGGCTGGCCGGGGCGCCGAGCACCCCGCGGGAAGGGACTTCCTGGCTGGCGGGGGCATCGCGGCGGCGGCACGGTTACCTTGCCCGGGGAGGCGGTCCCTGGCCCGGCTCCTTTCCCAGGCTGGCTTTCCTTTGGCGGGGGATGTTTTTGATGTCAGCGCAGGGCCGGCGTGGCATGCGCGCTTGCATTTCTCACACTGCCATGCTGCAAGCTTCGGCAAGCATGCCTCGCTGGTGCCTTTTTCTCGAAGTGTGCTCGTGGACACGCACGCATTTAGGGCAGAGGGGGAGAAAGCTCCGGATCGAGTTGCATGGGTATTGAGAAGTTTATGAATGGCCGGGGAAGGTGGAGGTTTCAGAGGGACTCTGCACCCACCAGGGGCTTCTTATAAAACAGGAACCTTCTGAAGGGATTTAAAGTTCTTCTCCTGAGCTGGAGCAGAATAAACCAACCACACAACCCAAACCAAACCAGATTCCCTGCCATCGAGTCTAAATAGCAAGGGTATATTTCCTGGCAGGCACAGGCATTTACACTTTCAAGCGATTCAGGTTATAATTTCTTTCTTTGCATTGTGAAAAGTGATCAATGCGGGGTCGAGATGGGTCCTTTCTCCTGGTCTATGAGCTGAAAGGTTAGTGCCAGCCTCCTCATGTGGTGGGGCTGCAGCTGGTTGGCAGCCAGGTTTACACTGTCTTCCAGGAGCAGAGAGGGCTGCAGGGAGAGGTCGGCCAGGGCAGTGGGTGCGGGATGCCTGTTAGCTGCAGATCATAGCCGGCTGGTTAAATGGTAATGGGCTCAAGCCAGTCAGCGCTGTTTGGAGAGTAAGCACCTCAGTAAACACGTTCCCTTTGCCCGCGTTGCCCTGACTCCTGCATCTCACGGGAAAGAGAGATCATTAAGCCTCTCTAGACCTTATGAGAACCGGCACGATTGCTGGTGCCATCTCTGGTCTTCAGGTCTGAAGAGGTCCCTGGGATGGTGTGTGTGTGGATGGGACTTTCAGGCTGAGCCTGGTGCTGTTCACATGGAGTGTGCTGTGGGTGTACCTCTCTCTGGCACTCTCTGCCACCAGCTTGTGTTGCTGAGCTCTGCGTGGAAGGCCAAGCAGCCCATTCACGGAAGGCCTGGTTCCTGGGACCCCACCTTCTCCTGTTGGTCTGCTAGCTGACAGAATGGGGGTGGTGGGGGTGGTGGTGGTAGCGGTGGGGATGTGATGGAGATTTAGCAGGTCCTGCCCAGGCCTGTTTGCTTTACTCATGCAGTATGGGAGCAGAAAGGTCCCAGTGGGCTAGGCAGCAGTTGATCAGATGTAATGTTAAGTGTTGCTTCTCAAACATATTTTGGGCACAGGATTTCTGTGTTCAGAGATGGAATGCGACCCTGCTCCCAAGGAACGCTGCCCTTCTTTGGCATCCTGGTGCCTCTCAGCTGGGATGGCTTTAGAACACACCTGGTTGCACGTACTCTGGTGGTTAGCCCTCCCTCAGGTGCCAAGTGCCTCTGATCTCCAGCAGAGGCAGGACAGGAAATTCAAACGGAGCAGATTCCAGTGTTCACCAGGTCGCCCAGCTCACAGTCTTTTGTTCCCACTCCAAGACTGGCTTATGGTGCCAGGCATTTAAGTCTTCTGAAATCTGGCTCCGGCCTCTGTTCCCACTGCTCACTCACGCCCCCTCAGTTCCAGTAGCAGCTTGCCTAGTGTACTCTACTCTGTCCAGCCTTGGAACCTTAGCTCTCAGAGTTCCTCCCTCCTGGAATGCCATTCCCTTCCTCTTCTCTAAAAGCTAGCCATCCGTCAATGCTGTCTTGAAATGCCACTTTGTCTTGGTCTTGGAAACCCTGGTTTCTAGTCGCAGCTGATGTTCTTCCCAATTCCATGTCTGTAGTTTGTGTCCCATAGCTGGGTGCTGAATATTCAGCCCACCAGGGCTTTCTGTGCTGTGGTCTCACCTATCGTACAAGCTCCCCAAGCTTGGAGACAGGCCCTCAAGGACAAAGATGATGCCTTATGCTTATCTTGGAATAGGCCTCATTGACTATGTGGGGGGTCCCATATATAGTAGGTGCTGGATAATGATTTGCTGATTAACTGACAACTTCTGTGGGGAGCCCTGATAATTAAAAAGAAAGTTGGCAAAAAAAGAAAGTTGGCAAGGAGGTTGAAAACTTTGGTAAATAAGTTCATCCGTGGTTATCGACCTTACTATCTCAGTATGGGCAATTGACCCCACGGAATGCTTTAAGGTAGGGGCCAAGGGGGAAGTCATCTTCCCCCTGGGAAACCCATGACCAGAGAAGCCAAATCTACTGGCCCAGGCTGGCATGGCCAACCTCCAGAGCCCGAGGGATCCTGAATCAGTACTTGTTCTGTACTTCATCTGCAAAGGATCCCGAATCAGTACTTGTGCTGTACTTACCGGCAAAGGATCCC